ACAAGATCAAAAGACTGGAAATACTAAAGAATGCAGGAACTGTGGTGCGTGTCCCGAGAAAGTACAGACTTGTCATTATTGTAACAAAATCATTACTAGAAAATGTGTCGTGCTCGTAAACAAAATGCCCATACGCGACCCAACAACGAGAGAAATTTTAGAAGTATTGATACGCAGCCTGTATGTATTTCAGCTAGTACGCGAAAAAACTTCTCAGGGCTCGAGTGTTATAACAGTACCGAACATAACTGTCAATGTGGAAGATAAGCCACTGCGCATGCTCATTGACACTGTAAAAATACTGGATGAAACAGCATACAAGACATTAGGTAAACCGTTAATCCGAAAGGCAAAGAACAAATTAATGCCCTATGGGGGAAGACAACCGTTACGTGTATATGTGAACTTAGTGTCGAGACAATCGAGGAGTTAATACATGACCTGAATGACGCAACGACGTTTAGCAAACTAGATCAACGTAGTAGATATCATCAACTAGAACTGCATCCAAACTCGAGATATATAACAACTTTCGTTGTTCCGAAACGACAAAATTTCATTTTTTGGAGTAGTATTCAGAGGTGATGATATATCACCAGATCCTGCGAAAGTAAAAACAGTCATGGCTTATTATGACCCAAAAGCAGACCTAGAGATAATGGTCGATGCAAGTCCGTTAGGTCTAGGGGCGATCATGTTACAGAACGGAAAAGTGGTTTCATACGCGAGTCGGTCACTGACATCTGTTGAATCACGTAATAGTGAAGTTGAACGCGAAGCTTTGGCCGTGGTGTGGTCATGTGAACATTACGATATGTATCTGAGAGGACAAAAACACTTCACTATTCTAACAGATCACAAACCGTTGGAGAAGATCTGGGCTAAGAAAAAACCTCCGTTACGCATTCAACCCTATAAATTCACAATCAGTTATGTACCAGGCGAACACGTCATCCTATCAAACAGTGCAAAACGTCCGTTGAGGAAGAAATAGTCGAGAATTATGTTAACTTTGTGACAACCGATGCTGAGTGCAATAAGTCTGGACGAGGTAAAGGAAGCTGCCACGCGACAAAATCTCACGAGACGCGGTCGGTAGTATGAAGTTAAAAATCGTTTCTTAGGCCCAAGATATGGTTCCCGAGAGTTGGGAAAACAATCCAGAATTTCCTGCCTTGTCAAGCGATGACCTCAGAACCAAGGAGAATGGAACCGTTACATATGACAGAGCTGCCAAAAGGACCATCGGAAAATCTCAGCATGGACTTTTGTGGACCTTTGGACACTGGAGAGTACTTATTTGTTATTGACGAGTATTTGCGATACCGAGATTCTTAATTCTGTATCAGCAAATGCAACTATTCCCGTGTTGGACAAAGTTCTAGGAATGTTTGGAACACTTACAGTTTTCAAGAGTGATAATGGAAGTCCGTTTAATTCACACGCATTCAACAGATACGCGAATCACATGGGTTTCGTTCATAGACGTGTTACACTTCGCTGGCCGCGTGCGAATGCCAAGGCAGAATCTATCAATAAGCCACTGATGAAGGTCATAAGGGCTGCTCACATTGAGGGGAAGAATTGGAAATAGGAACTCTTTCAATTTCTTCGTTAATATCGCACTACGCCGCACACCTCAACAGGATTCACGCAACATTGTCTGGTGTTCTCGCGTGAGCCTAAAACTCAGTTGCCACAATTACCCGTTTCAAAGACTAAGTTTGTAAGAGAGTCCGTGGAAGAGAAGGCCAGGAGAAATGACAGTGACACAAAACATCACATTTCATCATATGCAGATCACAAAAATAAGGCATTACATCGTGACATATATGTTGGTTTTCGGGGAAGGGAGGGTTTGATTCTCCCAAATGTACAGGCCTAGGGTGGAGCAGACACTTTATTTAGAAATTAGGATTAAGGGTCTTGATATTGGGTTTTCTTCTGTTCTTATTCTGATCTGAAATTAGAAAAAATAACTCGCCCGATGGGCGAGAAGTATAGTATCTGTTATGTACTGATTGTTTTTAGTTTACTATGAACAATATTATCATTTAAGTTCTTATTTTTTGAATATGCAACTATCATTTTCTGCTTATAGACATGGGGGAATTTCTCTTGAAGGCTCTTATAGTGGGCATGAACTATCTTGCTTGCTCGATTGCTGGTTGTATTAAACGGGACAACAAAGGGTGCTATGCCTACATTATGATGAATATTTAGTCCTATAGGTCTTGCTGTATTCAATGTCTCAATCCAATGGGCCTCCCTAGATTGACGGAATTTGGTAGTTTCATCTTCGGGCAAGTCAATTTCTGTACGCTCAATTGGGATTAGGGTGAGATCGTCTATTGAATGGTCGTCGAGGTTGAAATGATTAGAAACAGGCTTGTCTTTCTTTAATTT